TCTTTTTTTTTTTCTTTTTTTTTTGGGTCAAACAAGAATCAAATCGTGGTCAACTGGTCATGGTCAATTTAGCTCTGCCCATCGGCCCCAGCCCTTCTAAGCAAATCGACGGTCGTGATTAGCCCAACCACCTCTATAAATACAGGGCTTTGGTTACAATTCTCTACCACTCACAATCAAACACCACATTTATAAAATTTATAATTATTAAAATCCCCCTTTGAACTCTCTCTCTCTCTCTCTGAAACGCAGCAAAATGGCCACAGCCCATCCCGCAACCATCTCCGTCGGCGACAAGCTCCCCGCCGCCACCCTCTCCTACTACGATTCCACCGGAGATTTGAAGACCGTCTCGATATCCGACCTCACCTCCGGCAAGAAGGTCGTCCTCCTCGCCGTCCCCGGCGCTTTCACCCCGACCTGCTCGCAGAAGCACCTCCCAGGGTTCGTGGAGCACGCCGCCGAGTTCAAGGCGAAGGGAATCGACACCGTCGCCTGCGTCTCCGTCAACGACACGTTCGTGATGAAAGCGTGGAAGGCCGATCTGAAGATCGGGGACGAGGTGCTGCTGCTGAGCGACGGCAACGGCGATTTCACCCGGGCGATCGGGTGCCAGATCGATCTGAGCGATTCTCCGGCGGGTTTGGGGGTCCGATCGAGGAGGTACGCCATGTATGTTGAAGATGGAGTTGTGAAGATCCTGAATTTAGAGGAAGGAGGCGATTTCAGTGTTAGCAGCGCCGAGGATCTGCTCAAGGCCATCTGATGAGAGTGTTAGTTATGTCCCCTCTTTTCTTTCAACAAATTTGCAGAGTATTGATAATAAGAGAGCGTTGTGCTATGTGTTTGCAGTTGTTTGTGTGTGGTTTAGCAGTGTGATTTTGAAATTTGGGTGATGTACTTGTATTTTGGAGCTAGTGCTTTTGTGTTAATTTTGAAATTATAATTATGTCAGCTTCTTGTGTGTGTGTGTGTGTGTGAAATTATAATTTGAGTAATGAACATGAACTATTATAATGATGATTCAATGTTGATGGATAACTGAATATTAACCAGAGATAATTAAATTTTTTTCATCATGAAAACGGAGATTTAGAAAATGTTGCAACATTGAAATGAGATAGATTGGAAACGATATACCTTCGTCAAGCATATACCTCAGTTTAAGCCCCTTTCGTCAAGCAGTTGTTAAACGAGTCATCAAAGAAACAAACGATGGGCTCTCGGCCTGAAATCGCCTTACAAGTCGAAAAAACTCTCACGCAGAACACGGATTGAATACACGAGGAGATGATGGTTGAGTCACATCTCAAGATCCTCGCCACACTCAAAAACCATTTATCACAAGATAAGATTAAGAGAAAGGCAACCAATTATCAATTGGATTTCACAGAATAAGAGAAAGGTCGGATGTATGTCCTGGAAAATGTAATTGTAGTCGAATACTGAATTAACATATAAGCATATATGGTCCTACTTTTCTTCCTTTGCTTTCTGTTCATTAGTTTAGTCAGGTGAGTAATCACTATGGTACTCAATTAACATGCATGTATGCATGTACTAGAATAGTGATGGCAATATGACCTGTGCCCGGTTCGCCCCTACAAGGACTTTGGAGCAGGGCGGACTTGGTCTGTTTTTAAAACAGGTCGGGCCGGGTCTGACCCGTCGAGTAAACATGCCAAGTCTATCCTAGAAAATATAATTGTATTGGGAATTCAGCGAAAGATGGTGAACCAGAAAAATATCAAGAAACATCTATATATATATATATATAATTGCTAGCTAATCATTAAATAAAACCTCATAAATAAAACTTAATTAATAAAATCTCATTTATTTTCCCTCCAAAAGAAGTTACAAAATTTGTCATTTATATTTTGTTTTTCACATTAATACACCCCTATTAAGTGTAATCATATAAAAAAATTAATAGCATTAACTATTATATAATATAATAGCAAAAAAAAAATAGCATTAACTACTATTATAATAATAATAATAATAATAATAATAATAATAATAATAATAATAATAATAATAATAATAATAATAATAATATCTTGAAACAATAAAATTGTTTATACTTATGTAATTTATATTTAGTGTGAAATATTATGAGTTGGTAATAGCATTAACTATTATATAATATAATAGCAAAAAAAAAAAAATACATGATTACACTTAATAAGGTGTATTAATGTGAAAGGCAAAATATGAATGACAAATTTTGTAACTTCTTTTGGAGGGAAAATAAATGAGGTTTTATTAATTAGGTTTTATAAATACATGATTACACTTAATTAGGTTTTATGAATGATATTATTATTATTATTTTAATTTTATATTTCATGAAACAATTTTCTTTAGAAACAATTAGTAAATAGTTTTAATAATATAGTAAAAAAATTTTAAAATCTTATAAACAATTGTCGCTGTAATAATAATAGTAATAATAATAATTATAATAATAATAATAATAAAGTTTTCAAGTAAATTATTTAACCATGATACCTCCAAATTATAAAAATTACATTACCCATAATTTTTTTAATCAATATAGTGATTCATATGTACTCAAATAATTTATATAAATATTATTTTATTTTTCATAACGATTAAATCTTGAAAATGTGATATGTTTATTATCTAGAATTTTAATAGTAAATTCACATATTTTGAAAATGTTCTAGAATTATAATATTAAATTTACACATATTACTTATAATATTTTATGTACATCTGTGCACATACACAAGATGATAACTAGTTTATATTGAAGTGAAAATGAATTGCTGGCTATGGGGTTCGAACCCATGCGCACTTATGTGTAGAAGATCTTAAGTCTTCCCCCTTAACCTCTCGGGCAAACAAGCTGACTGTAGTCTCGAGTTTTTATTATTTTTTTACCCCAGATAGTATACTGTAAATCACCATTGTATGTCAGATGCTCCGAAATTTGTAACTCGCCTGACCAATAATAAATAATAATGCCAAAAATCGGAAATTACAGGGAGATAGTTTTTCTATAATCGTGACTTGTATAAGATAAAATTACGTAAAATAATAAAATATTAGTTGATTATATATCATTGAGTTAGAAAGATATAAGTAAACCCTTTTTTTTTTTTGGGAATATGTAATGATCTATTTTATGAATAAAAAATAATATACTTTATTAAAAAAAATATATCCAATCGAAGATAATAACACAAATTCTCTGAACCAATTAAAAAAAAAGAAGAAATATTTGTATTACGGTGGCTTAAACTCATGGTCGTATTAAAATCCAATTATTTGTTAGTTTTCCATTTCAAGCTCCATTATTTGTTTGTTTTCCATTTATTTTATTTTTTTTAATACGAAATTCGTATTAAAATCCCAAGGAACGTAGCTAATTATGCTGCAGACAAAACCCATTAACACACACTCGGGCCAAAATTATTTTCCCTGATTTTGCAGACATTCCTAGTATTTTAAAGCAAGAAAACTACTAATCACATTCCATAACAGACAATTTTTTTCCAGTTTTTCGATCCCTTTTCTTCCCTTGCCATTTTGGACAAAAAACACGAGCAAGCTATAACTAGAACAGAGAAAAACAAGGGCATAAAACATCTTGCAAAAATAGCAATAGAAGCAAAGTATCAGCAAGCATGGATCAACCACAGATTCAAGTATCATTTTGGGTTTGCCCGCATCAGAACTCATCGACACAATCTGAGCAGCCCAAGAAAACTAAAGCTCGATCAGCACCAAATCTAAGCCTATGCCTTCTTCGCACAAAGCCCAAAACACATACATTCTCTCAAAAATCTGTCATAAGCCAGCAAATATAGCACACAACTTTAAACAGAATCCATATTACTTTCCACCACCATGCTTGGCTTTTGAGTGCAATTCCAGACCTTTCTCGGAGACAAATCTTCTGCAGCCGACAGAAAAAACAAAAAAAAAAAAGAAAAAAAAAATTATTTTTGTTATATACTGTACGAAATTGGATATGGAGGGAATGTGATTGAAAGAATGCCTACATATGGCAGCTCATGCAGGAGGAATATGATTTTGGTGTCTGTCGGTTTGGTTTGCTGGCTGTGGCCTTGCCATGTGGCTTTGAAGGGTAAGGTGTGTCTACATGGACGCTGTTTTTCTTTTCATCTGTAGTAACAATGCAAGAAAACCGAGAGTGCAAACTATACGGTTAACTAAGGAGGTTTATTTGTACGTAAAATGGTAAAAAGGTAAAAGCTTGAGGGGATTTTACAAAACTGCAAAAATGTTGTCCCTGCTTGGTGGTGGTAATTACAGGGACATTTTAAGGATGGGTTTTATAGTTACAGTGACTAAAAACACTTGAACAGATAAAAGAAATTACTCCAAAGGAAATTCTAACACGAGAATCAATAATAGATAATTTTAAGTGCCAAAACAACTTGCATGACATGAATTGACGAAATCAGCAAAATATATGATCTCCAAAGAAATGGTCTTTTCATAAATCAAAAGCAATTAAGATGTTTCTTAGTAAGTAACATTAGTGAATATCACTGAAATTACCAGTTCTCTGTGGGGTTGATTTTGCCTTCTTGTCGGGCACAGGGGTTTTGGTAGCAGATTTGACCGGTCGCTTCTTGCTTGTTTCAGCCTTTTTGAGAAAGAAAATATTGTTAAATCATAAAAGACATATGATATTATAATAATAACATCACCTTTGGCCCACACATGATAAGGCTTGAATGCGCGGGGGAATACCTTCTTAGGAGGAGTCTCTTCTTCTTCACTCTCATCAGATTCATCATCAGAGCTGTCCTCATCCTGTAAATTAAGAATGTTACGCATGTTTCAGATACCAGCGGTATCTAACACTAATATAGTTGATTCATTATTAGGTTGTTGACCATACAAACAGAACATAGAGAATATAGTTTGACCATAAATTTTCTAGCTACGCAATACTACTTGCCACACGGCATTACATCAGGAGACAATGACAGTGGTCACTAGAGAAATTTTGAAAACAGGAATGTCAGCAATACAAATAACTTCAAACAGCATTGAACTCAGTCTTTAACATTCATCCACTATCATGAGAACATTAATTAAAAATTTCCAGTAAAATCATTGAAGATGGCATCTTAGTTAAATCACTGGAGTTGCAATAGCTATGATTCTTAATAGCAAAAAAGCACAAGGCTATTCCCCTATTCAGAGAGATACACGTTAGAGGCTTCTAAGTTCCAACAGCAGAAACCACAATGTAGACTTGTATCCAAGAATATGATGGAGGATTCATAAATTGTATTATCAAATTAATCCCGAAAATATTTAACAACAAGAAACAGTTAAATCCTTTTATAAAAGCAGTATACAAGCTACATGCGGAAGTTATCAGATTGTACCTCAGAGTCATCTTCATCTTCATCATCATCCTCAGATATCAAGTCTTCATCGCTGCTTCCACTTTCAGTCTCTGAAACCACTGCTTTTCCCTTGCCAGAATCTGATTTTTTCTCTTTGGAAGCATTGCCCTTCTCACCATCAGCAGGTTTCTTTTCCTTGGCCTTTGACTCAGACTTTGCTGCAATTTTTATGCCAACGATTACTTGGTGGAACGACGAAACAGAAACAGAAAGGGATCAAGAATGATAACAGTACCACTGTTTGCAATGTTAACTGGAATATCCTCATCGTCCTCCTCAGAAGATGAATCTGGATAAATTGTATATGCACACAAGTTACTAGGGGAAACGAGGATAGTTATACGTGCATGTACAGAGACAAAGGGTGAAATTGTAGAAGGAAGCCGGGTGAAGAAAAACAGTTACCAGAATATTCAGAGGAAGAATATGTAGAATCTCAAATAAATAGAGTCAAGGAACAACAATCATATAATTAAATTATGTGTTGAGGTCATTCAAAAAGATAGTTAAAAGAAAAAACTACTAAGAGGATATTCATCAGGGTTCACGGCCCAGTATCCATAAAAGTAGACACTTCCACTTTTACATTTGTGGGAAAGCTCAAACTCTCGGTTGAATGCCAAGTCAAAATGTTGTTGAGGTAACTTATCGGTGAAGAGTGTTCCAAGGACCAGCTTCTTTCCATCTATATTCACAAACAAGGAGACAATGGTTCTATTGTTTTTCTCATTTTTCAGTTCACCAACATTTGCCTGAAACATGAAGAAACGAGAAGAATCACTATACACTACCCAAAAATAATATGAAACAAGATTCACCATCAAAACAGTCTTCTAAGTTCTAATATACCTGGGAAAGATGCAAAATTAAGCCGTCAACAGGTGCAACCTTAAGAGTCTCTCCACTTTTCACCTCAGCCCCTGAAAACAACAAAGACAAACATGTTACAACAGTGCTTCGAAAATATTTATTATTATCAAAAGAAGCAACACATAACACCCACCACAGTGCTACTATTGACCTAAACACAATCATTATACAAAATAGCAACCAATATCCAAGAAGTCAGGAGAGTCCTAACACGCATACGAACCAAAACATCATGCTACCAGTCGTGCATTTTCAGCTTAACTGCACTCTATTCTTCCTATCCTTTTTCTCATAACACAATGTACTTCAAAATGACAGGCGACTTTACCACCAACAGAAATTCACATATGTGAACACGTGAGAAACAGGACAAAATCCACAGAAAGGTGCACGAACTAGAAGCAAAAACGCATAAAAGAAACAGATACAAATCATGAAATACCGGCAATACATACATACATACAGAAATTTCCATAATCAGCTAAAACAAGCACAGATGCTCACCCAAAACTCCATTAAAGACAAAATGTACCGCGTTCAAAGTGACAGACAACTTTAGCGCCATCAACAAACAGGACAGAAGTGCAAAGCCGGAAATCAAATACGTAAATCACACGATAAATAAACACAAGAATCCGAATAAAAGGTGCACAAACGATAAGCAAAAACACATAAACAAAAACAGATAATCACATGAGAAAACAACGAATCGTGAAATGCCGACAACACATACATACATCGATTTTCATATGCAGCAAAAACGAGAGGGAGCTCAGAATTCTTACCCCAAAACTCCATGAGCGACGATATGAGTGCTGAGGTTGAGAGAGAGAGAGAGCTGGTTTAGGGTTATGGAGAGGTGGTAATGTGCGAAATGAAGCTTCTAAATAGAAAGAGCGGGATCAATTGTATCACGCAAATTTCATTTCTAGGACTAGGGTTAAAAAAATGATTTTTGATTTTTAAATTATATATTTTGTTAATGGAAAGGGTGGATTTATTGCTATGTGTGCGTATGGAAGCGATGGGCTGATGGGTCATGAGTGGCGTGGACCTTGGGCCACAGACTGGCCCATAATAATAGGATGATTTTTTTCTTTTATTTTTTATATGTATATTAACGTTTTGTTTGCAATTAATGATAGCGAATAGTTGATATCTGATCGTCAGCTTGACTGGAAATACTTCTCAAATATACTTTTGGATCTGAAAATCCATTTGAACAACAATTTATGTTTAGGGCTGATATATAATATTATACCTAAAGGAGTAAACCAGTCTACTAGGCCGGTCGGATGAGGTCAGTGAACTGAATAGGTCGTCTTGGCCGAGAAGAACCGAGTAGAGTATTGTGGTCGAGCACCACGAGAACAGGTCGACCCTAGGTCCATGGAGGATCTGGTCGAAGATCGGCCTGTCAAGCAAAGGGTCATTTGACCGACCACTTCACAGACTGAGAGCAGTCCAAGGATTGACCTGAACAAAGTAGAGCGTAAGAATCTTTGAAGAGGATATACATAAATCTTTATCCAAAGTGCAGAGGACACATGGCGCAATTGTATTGGTCTATGATGATAAGCATTTCTGGCACACGCACACTCTGTGTGTACGGACGAGCAGGTCGGGCAGCCAGCTCAACTAACCCCGGTAAACTATAGAAGCAGGTATATCACTGCTATAGGGGTAAGCTTTACATTTTGAGCATGATTTTATCCATTCTTACTCTTGAGAATTGAGTAAAGCTTATGTTGACTTAAGCATCATAAACTCTTCACCGGAAAATTCCTCCGGTGTGAATGTTCTTTTCAAGTACTCGACGTTCTGCCGGCGAGGGGGAAGGAGGCAAACCGGTTTCCAGCCGATCAGAGTGTCCACAAACGACGCCAAATGTTAATGGCAAACACTAAGAATTAAAAATATTATAAAAATGGGTCTTGGAGCCCGTAGATAAAAAGAAAATGAAGAGAGAGAAAGAGAGAAAAACTAAGAAGAAAAAAAAAATATTGCAAAAGAGGAATTAATGCAAAATACAAAGCAATAAATCTATTTCTAGTCACACCACAAAGACACACTGAAACACACACCTTTAATGAGCAGCACTCGCCAAGCGACCTGCCAAGCGAAATTTCCCTTGTTTGGGCGAGTGTAGATTATAAATGTGTGTGTTCTAGTGTGCGTTTGTGTGTGGTTAATGGTTATAAATAGACTAGTTGTTTTGTATTTTGACATTAATCTTCATTTGCAAGATTTTTCTTCTTAGTTTTTCTTTCTCTTTCTCTCCTTACATCTCTTTTCTCTCTCTAAGGGCTCCAAGACTATTGCATTGTAATATTTCTCCATCAAGATTGCAACTTTCCGACGTTTCCTTCTCGTGGATGGAATAAATACTTGGAGACTTCGTTTAAGGTCTAGTTGGAGACTTAGTTGAAGGTCTAAGATTTCGTAAGTTTTTATTGCCTTTTATTTATTGAATTATTCTAGGGTAAATGTAAGAGCTTTTATGAGTAAAATATCCATTCATCCTCGTAGGTTAGGGATTATGTGATGTTGTTGTTGATTGCGTGAATGAGAATTGATTGAGAGCTTGATTAATTGATTCACAGATGACGATTGCTTGATTACATGTTCACGAACCTGTGAGTGTATTCTTTCAATCTCAGGTCTTAAGGTACCTTGTTATTTTTCTCTCTATTTTTTTTTTCATGCCATTTGATGACTTGCTTGCTTTAAAAATTGAATCTTGCTTTCATTCTTGCTCAAAGTTGTGATCTTTAGTTACATTCAAACCCCAAATTGCGAGGTCGAGGCCCACCGCAAAAACCCGATCTAACCAGGCAGTCTAGAGCCAGACGAAACTGCGGGAGGCAGAGTCCCGCAGGAGAGGAGGCGAATTGTTTTGTGGATTTTTAGGTTAGGGAAATTGGGGTTTTTTTCTCAAAGGAGGAGTTGAAAGGAAATTCGTCTATTTCATTTGGAAAAGTTTTCGCCTTAATGTCCTATTGGTCAAGGCGGTCTGATTTTTGAAAACAATGATTTTCTGGGACCATTGCGCAAAATAGAATTTTCCGGGGCAAAATACGCGACCCCCTTATTCCTTCAGGACCGAAATTGCAAATAAAACAGATTGAACAGTCACTTTGCCCGTCGCCAATCGCCATAGACTATCTGATAGGCTCACAGCTGAGCACAACATCGAGATTACGCCACATAACCGTCACCTTCCGCCAAAGAGGAGAG